GCGGGCCCCCCCGACCCCCCCCCCCCCCCAACAACCAGAGCATTCTCTGTGAATGCACAGGGAACTTTTTTACTTTTGCGGGAAATTTAAATATCCCCTGTATATTTTTTCCAACTTTTTAATTTTTCTGCATACCTGGGGACTGCTCCAAGTGTGCAGGGAAATCTCTCTGCCTCCCAAGTGCCCCTGATGTGCGGATTTAGATATCCACACGGAGGGGGCAACTTGGCTATATATAGATACCCCACTCAGGTCCCTCCCTCAACTCCCACTAGGATCCACCCCCAAATCTTCAGGAATTTCCCAACCCAGGGCTGGTAACCCGAAAAGGAACAACAAATGAAACAAAAAATCTTCACCTACTGGCCAGAAGACAATAACAGGAGGACTGTATTTGAGACTGGGGTTAATAAACCATCTTCAAACTATGGTTTCAGATCCTGGTTTGACATACCCGAATTAACCATAGTTGGTGGAGTGACCTACACTTGGGCTGCGATCATACGCACAATTAGACCCGACATAGGTGCAAACGCTGGGTGGATTTAAAGGGCACGATCAGACAACAACATCTGGGAAGCGCTCCATATCCGTCGGCAACCCATTCAGCTCCGCCACAGAAGCGGAGTTAAAAGACACCAGGGAAAACCCAGTAGTAAACAGGTTGCGAAGGGCCACAGAAAGACTTTCCCCTGTCTGATCACTCCAGCGTGCTCTCATGGCGTTGGGATAGTCTGATCAGGCCATCCTGACTCCATGCCGTTGTTTCTTTTCCCCTTTGCAGTATGAGCATCATCACAAACTCCAGAGGGAGCCCTCAGTGCGAAGGTATGATTCATGGATCCCTCAGTTAAGCACATGGGTGGAAAGGCACAAAAAAAACCCCAACTCACCTGCACTTGCATGTGATCACGCACTGACGGACTTCGCCCGCAGCTTCAAAGGGAGATGTGATTGTGCAACTGTGGGTCAAATTCCTCCGGAGGAAATAGCCTTGTTCCCCCCCCCCTGTTTTTTCTGGTGCATGTGACCACAACCTTGGGTAATTACAATAACCATAGTTGGATTAAACTGTGGTTTTGCATTATGTCTAAACCAAGACACAGCCGGTGCAGGCTGCTTTGGGTTCGGGGAGGGGGGATATGGAAGAAAGAAGTAACGCCTTGTAATGTGTAGTGTGAACCTTAAATAACTTTCAAGCAGGGTAGGACACTTTCTTGGTGCAAGTACCCCCAAGCCATGTAATGGCATGCATCCAGCCGGCCACGAACTTCACAGAGTTCTCCTGCTTCCTCCTCCTATTGCAGCCCAACTGAGCCCCCAACATTTCTTCTGAGGGTCAATGGAACCTCAGTCTGCAGCGAGAGGGAGAAACTGACTGGACGTGCACCACACGCCCCTTCTACAAAAAGAAATGAAGGACCTGCATGACTGAATGCACACCAGTGCCTGCAGGTAGAAATGCTGGTGTACCAGCAAACAAAAGGGGAGAGGGAGAAACAACATGGAGCAAGCTCAGCCCCAGCAGGGCTGCCAGTGCCTCGGAGGCTCCCTTAGCAGGCCCTGCATGCTGAGCAAAACGGTGTGGCTCTGATGTTCTCCACTGATACTGTGGGGGTTTAAACAGATTACACAAAAAGGTCAAGTCTACCAACAGTTACTGTATCAGTGTATTATTTCCTATTTATTGTTCATTTTAAAAATTGTAAGCGGAAAGATGCGGCAAAGAAAAACAACAGCTGATCTGCTTAAAAGCACTGGGGAATGAAATATCTTCAGGCATATCATGAAAGGCGAGATGGTAGAACCAAGGGGACAAATCCCGTATTTTGGGCAAGGAAGTATCTGAAAACATGATGGCTGAATACAAAAACAGTGAGTGGTGTGTTAGCACAAAAAGCAACCAAGGTGATATTTCAGGGGGGATGAGTATAGCCAAAGCCTCAAGGTATGTTCACATGGATTTCAAACAATATAATAAAGAAGAATATGGCAGACCTTTATGGGCAGAGGGTCCCTATGGGGAAAAGGCTGAAAACTCCCAAGCAACACATGTAGCAAGACAAATACATAAGGATCACTCTGATACCACATTAAACAAATTTTAAAGAGCTTCCCCCCCTTAACCACTTTTTGTTGTAAACTCCACCATCCAGCCTGGCTGTTCACACACAGCTGACAACCACATTCAGGCTCTGCGACTTCTGGATTTATAAATATGGTAATATGAGCTGATTTTGCCATGACACATGGTTCCTTGCAAATGGTTTAAGCCCCCAGAAC